GCAATTTCTGCACCCCCGAGTACAAGGGCACGCAGAAGGTGGGTCTGGGCTGTGGGGCCGGGGCTGCCGTGCCGTGCCATGGGGGGATTCCTGCCCCACACGCTGATGTCCGGTTTGCTGTCCCCCCCAGGCTGCCCTCAACGTGCTCAAGGACAGGGAGTGTCCGGCCATGCTCATTCCCAGCACCCCGCGTACGTCCGTAATTAGCGAGGAGCTCGTTAGCGATGGTTTGGGGGCTGTTTGGGGGTCCTGGGGGGGCTTTCCCAGCTGAGCCCACCCCTCCCCGTGTCCCCCCCAGTGGCGCGGAGATGCTTCCCGGCCATCCAGGCCAAGCAGGGCGTCATCATGGTGGGCAACAAGACGAGCTTTGAGGACGGCTGGGGGAACCACAGGAACGCCACCGAGCTGCTGGAAGGGGCCAAGTGAGTCCCAAACCCTCGTTAAGGGCTGCCTCGTTAGCGCTGCTTCGCCCGTTTGAGGTGTTTGCCTCAAATCCTGCACCAGGATCCCATGGTGGGAGGCGCAGTGCAAGCGGCTCCGGGGGGTTTGCTGTGCAGAATTGGTGAATTTTTGTGGTTTTGGGCCTCCATCGGTGTTTCCCGTTCCCTCGCAGGAAAGCCAACGTGGTGCTGGAGACGCGGCAGCTGGCCATGAAGATCTTCGAGGACTACACGGTGTCCTGGTACTGGATCATCATGTGAGCATGGGGCAAAATTCCGGCATTTCTGGTGTTTTGCTGTTTTCCCGGCTTTCCCACGATTTCCACGGAGCAGTGACATCCCCACCGTGGTTCTCGTGTCCGGGGGACACTGTGGGACACTGAGAGGATGCTGACCCGTCCTGCCTTCCTCCCGCAGAGGCCTCGTCATTGCCATGGTGGCCAGCCTCATCTTCATCGTGCTGCTGCGCTTCCTGGCGGGCGTCATGGTGTGGGTGATGATCGTGATGGTGATCCTGGTGCTGGGATACGGTGAGCAGGGGGCTGGCTGTCCCTCTCCCCCTGGCTTTTCCCCTTGTTTCCAGTGGGGTTTGTGCCGCAGAATTTCACACGCCGCGTCCTGATGGGTGTCTCCGCCCTGGTTGGCGTCCGGCGCTGCCTCTCCCGTGCTAAAAATGACCAAATTTCTGCTTTTTTGCCCCAGGAATCTTCCACTGCTACATGGAGTACGCCAAGCTCAAAGGGGAAGCGGGCTCGGATATGTCCCTGGCAGACCTGGGCTTCCAGACCGACCTCCGTGTGTACCTGCACCTGCGGCAGACCTGGCTGGCGTTCAGTAAGCATCCGGGAATGGGGAGTTAATTGGGAGTGAATTGGGGTGGGGTCCCACAGGGCAGGGGGTTGGGGGTCACAGCTGTGGGAAGGAGGGGCTTGGCCCTGCTGGGTGCCCCCAGGAGGGGATTTGGGGGCTCTGGGGAAGGGGCAGGGGGTCCTGATGCTCCATTTTCTGCCCAGTGATCATCCTGTGCGTGCTGGAGCTGGTGATCGTCCTGCTGCTCATCTTCCTGCGCAAGAGGATCCTCATCGCCATCGCGCTCATCAAGGAGGCCAGCAGGTCTGGCTG